CGCGGGGCTCGGGGCAGCGAGGGAGCACACTTTTACACTCGCGGGGCTCGGGGCAGCGAGGGAGCACACTTTTACACTCGCGGGGCTCGGGGCAGCGAGGGAGCACATGTCTTACATCGCGGGGCTCGGGGCAGCGACAGCCGTGGCCACGGAGACGCTCAAGCCCGTAAGCAAGAGGGACACCATGACACATCGGAGTGTGAGGACCGAAGTCCTGATTTTTTTTTGGGCTGGGAATCCGGCTCCTTTTATAATTTTTCGGCTACGTCTCGACCAAGAAACCATTTGCGCAGTTGGTAGCGAGAATCACTGTCTCGTTATTGGCGTTGAAGACATATGAACAACGTTGAAATGGTTTTGGGAGACCTTGTGGCCTACAGACTCAATTTTCAACCTGGATTCATTGCTCTCAAAAACCTGCGTTGAGTGTGGTGAACCACTTTCATCAACTGTTGAAAAGACAGTGATACCGCAAGAAAATGATTCTCACATCATTTAAATTGCAATTAAATCGCTCAACGCGGTGGCACTCTCCATCTGCGCGGTCTGGCCACGTTCATCGTCTCTTTCATGAAGGTTGGAGTGCTTCAACAGATGCCGCAATAATGGGTTGGAGACTGTGACAGACAGTGACATTCGATTGTACCGGCTGTTGACCATAGGACGTGCCTCCCATTGATCCCACTACAATCCTTTTCCCCTATTTCTAGCCTCGGGCTACTCGAGCGGTACTTTTCTGTGTTGCTCGCAACCAACTGATGTTGCCTCTACTAATACTTCTGCTACCTGTCGGTGCAGACACTATGAACATACTCCCAAATACAGGGTACTGGCTGTTTTCCTTTGACGGAGAATCAAAGTCTAGACTTTGTTGGAAAACCCAGAATAGAAACCTGAGTCCAATTTCCAGGATAATGAAGTGAGCTATTTCAGCTACCATGGCTCACGAGCTAGATTCTCGTGATCTCCACCCCCTCGCCAGATTGCAACGCTACTATCACATTGACGAGACCCTAGATACAAATAGCACCCAACGTACCAATCAAACACCGCGCGTGAATTTAGACACACGCAGGTACGGTTCCGCGACGCAGATCCCAGGGATGACCCACGGGACAGTAGATCACGGAGGTTCTATTTGTGGCCCGGAGAAGAAATCGGAAGGATCTGCAGGGTCCAGACACGATCCACATTCCCAAACCTGACAGCCGTTAGGGCCCGATGGAACAGCGGTCTTTGTTACTTAGGAGGTATTGCTGGGCAAGAGACTATTTGGAATACCACACAGAGTTTCGGCAACAGAGATCTGATCCGCGGTTCAGTTGCCCACGCAAGAGAGTGATTGGTCCTCCGTCGAGGGAAGCAGCTGCTATCTTTATCTGGCCTATAGAACGTTCTAGAAGCTATGTCTTCTGTCCTGCACCTTCCTCGCATAAAGTAGACTCTCTTTGAGCCCGACCCATCCTCTCCATCTGCCAAATTCGGTCGCCAGTCTGTTATTTCTAGCAGATAGCTTTTGAAATCAATGCCACCTAAGTAAGGACACGATGGTAGATCTAAATAAAGTCTCCGGTTTGTGCACTAGAGGCCGAGAAACCGATTGGTCCCGGCCGACCCACAAAGTTAATTTCAAGCACCCAGCTCATCTTGACCATTAATCTGGCGACCGAGATAATTTACGAATAAAGTCGTTTCCTGCTACAATGTACTAAGTTTCGCTGGCGTGAGACCTTGGAGAGGGTACCACGAGCTTTCCTCTGAACTTTCGGACTATGATACAGATTTAATCACGCCGCCAATCCAACACTATAGATAAGCTTTCGATCAAGTTCCTCTGACAACCGCATTCTCTCACCGAGCGAGCGTTTCCATGGTTCATCGAAAGTTGGTTGCCGAATTGACTTGGGATTTGGTTACCGATCGACGGTGCCGCTCACTATTCCAAGGTCATTGTGACTCTAACTTTTTCCTATGACTCGAGTCTGCCAGTTTTGGACTGATTCGGAAAACCTTTGATTCTCGGCAAATATGACTAGTGCGTAGTTCGAAAATAAACCGTATACCTCAGCTTCTACTCTACAGATCATTCTGCCTTCGACCACCCATCTAACCGAATCCATTTGAAGATGCAACCAAAGATATTACCTCCCGCTGACAAGAATTGAATGGGGTTTGAAACTTTACAAGGAGCCCCCTTGCTATCATGTTCTGATCTTGTTTAGTTCTGTGAGCCTTTATACACTGCCCACAGTATTTTCCAGGCCGCATGGGAAGACATACTCCTGAACTAGAGACAACAATGAAGAATGTGCCAGTATAGCTGATTTATAACAGCACTGTAGACGGATCTGTTTCGTAGGCACAAGGAATAGTGCTCTATCTCACTAGGTTTGACATCTGGGACACCCTCGATGTTGTGATCTCAAGGAGTGAGTACAGCCACGACGGAATTTCTCATGCTGCGGCTTCCTTGCGGAGCTATCATAGGTTTTTTTATAGCAACGTGCACCAGGGCTAGTGATCGAGATGGTTGGCCTCTGTTGCTTCGATATCACGACGTAAACCGCATGACAACAAATTGCTGCTAGTATTAGCGTTCTATTTACTGTTATTCAAGCTTCCTGGCTGCACAAACACGATGCACATAGTCCCACATCGAAGATGACGATCGAGTTTCTTTAAGCCAACACGGGGTTGACACTCGCGTCGCGCGACTGTGACAGTGGATCAGCTTGTAGTGCGTAAATGGTAAAAGGTGATTAAAGGAAATACATTGCGTACCTAGTCTGGAGCTTTCTGCTTGACTTGATCCATTGCTGTTGGCCTGGCGCGCCTCGGCTGTGAGCATTGTTTTGAACCATTTGTCAATGTTGCTTTCGGCAGAAATGTTGTGTGGGAGAGCCGACAATGAAGCCCTACGGCCGACCAAGCCACGAACAGATTTTGATTTTCTTTGATTGCCTGGAGGATTAGAAGATCTGGCGTCAGTGGGACGACACTTCCGCAGAATGTGGTACTTCTTTCCCGCAGAGACTCAGCGCCTCGGGCCACGCGGTGTTGTTTGTAATATGCGTCCGAGCGGGCTTTCCACGACAGCTCCCGATGGGCATCTAGCCAAGAGAGAGAAGATTCTTCTCCTCCCATTCCGGCCAGCCCGATGCGCTACGTGGTGACATGGTGATGCTCAGGCAAGTGGTAAAGAGGGAAGAACGGGTGAAGAAAACAACACAAAGTGAACTCGGAGGTGTAGGTTTGTTGAGTTGAAAATGCATTCATTCCTCGGTCAACTACGGAAGACCCTACCGTTGCATTAAAAAGACCCTTTTTGGATTGCGAGCCATGGCTCAGTCTGGTGAGCTGGTCTCAGACCCTCACCATTCGCCAGTCCAAACATGCCCTCATATTATCATTGCTGTTGAGCAGCAACGTTCAAGAAAAAAATGGCTGGGAGTATCTCTTTCCTGACCACCCAATATGGTTTCATCGCTTCATTGGATCATACTTTTCTAAGCGGATTTTCTTTCATTGGTGCAAAATTAGTTGTCCTTCCTGTCTATCATTCACATGAGTCATCTCTCAACGTTGGTTTGACAGACATTGAGGAATTCATGGGCAAATATGAGGGTCTCGACAATGAAAGGTCTAACATCACTCAGAGTGTGTGGGAGATGGTTGACCTTGCGCCCCCAATCGCAAGCAAGCAAGTAGTCAATTCCAATTTCACGATACAAATTTCTATTAAAGCCAGTGCGATCCCTCCTTTGTTGTACACTCAACAAGAATCGGGGGCACTCGCCGTCTCCTCGTGGCTGAAACGCAAGTATGGGTGGAATTCGAAAAGTGTCGCTCACTCATCACGGGCTAGACTTTCGGAGCAGACTGCAACGTGCATTGTCCTTGTCGTCCTCCGAGTCTGATAAAACCAGCAATCCGTCGGCATCTGAGGCAGGCGACATAACAGAGGACGAGGTTTTGCAGGACGGAAACGACTACTCTGACGATCAGGGAAACAGCAACTCAGCCGACGGGAGTGTGGAGGCTCCACGGGAGCGGAGAATGAAGCGGAAACGTGATAAAGACTTGGAAATACCCAAAAAGACCCAGCTCCACGGAGAAGACAATGCGGTAGCACTCGAATGTGTGGCGGAGTAAGTATTGACCTCATCACAGAATATGACTTCGGAATTGCCTGCTGACAACGTCCAGACTCAATACCCGAATGAAGTCAGTTGTGAATCAATCTTCGAGTGAAAGCATAAATCACTGATCTTCTATGCAGGTCCATTGAGAGCTCATCGTACGTCCAAAGCACCCGCAATGAAACCGTTCGCAACGACTTGGCTGATATCTTTGCTCGACTGGCGATCGTGGAGACTGAGATAGGAAGTGGCAAAACGGGGCAACAATAAAGCCACCGAGGGCCAGAAAACCGGCCGATCCCTGCGTCGGGACAACAGTGATTGAAGTTATATGTACTAGATTTCAATCATTGGGACCAGAGCAAGGTATCAGCTCGTGTTGGTCCTAAGGTATGTGTACGAGTCTTTCGACTGCCAAAGGCCAAATGGAATAGAATGCGAGCAATCAAATAGCCGCCCATACATTGGTTGGCTGCTGAAAATGTGTCGATGGGGTCAATTTCACACTGACAATGTGTCCACTCTTATACCATCTTGTCATCTTGCATTGAGACCTCTTGTTTCGCCAATCCTCCACCAAGTTACCAACAACTTAGGGATATGTATGGAAATGCAACTTAGCGTACCGAAAGCTTTGCCCAAACCAAAAAATTTCAGGGTAGTATTTGGAGAACAATGGGTTAGATTGCAAATTATTTAATATTTATTGAGACTGTTGCTAATACTTGATCCTCGACGTTTGATGCTAGCGGTACAATGTCCGAAATCACTTGACTTGTGGATAGGCCACTAAATGAAAAGATTGCTTCCACGTGGTTGAGTGTGATATCCTCGTAATAAGAAGCTTGTGCTGATAGAGTATCAGACAATAGACTTGATAAATGGTGCCTTTTTGAGTGCGTTGGCCTGAACTTTCCAAATTTCGTTACCTAAAGCAACAAGTTCTTGGCCAAAACGCTCAATCACTGTCTCCACTTGAAGATCTTCTTTCCGGAGTTCCTCCCGATACTCGTCATCGGAGCCAAAAGTAGCCACACGCCAAATTCTTTTCCACCTATTAATTGCTCGAAGGGCTTTGTCGGACTGACTTTGGATGCCGGTCGCAACCATATAAAATGATGATCGCTTGGCATGACCCGACTTTGGCTTGAAAAGTTGCACTGAGGAAAATTCACTAAATGTGAAGACGAGTGTCACAGTATCCCACGCTTCAAGCTTGTGAAGAAGGAGAATCATGGTCCCGCCGGGTCGGAGAAACTGAAGACCAAGAGATAATTGCGTCACTGTTAACCGTCTAGCTTCTCGGACTTCTCGATAGGCGGCGCGTTCATGTTTTCTGAGAACTTGGCCGTCACAGATGGCTAATTCAAATAGTTGATTTGACTCAAATTGCCGCGGCAAGAAATTCTTGGCATCAGGGTGACCTTGGGGGATCTGTTCCACCTCCATGTCTGTAGCGAGCAGAGTGATATCTAGAAACCTTTGTTCAACGCTCGGGCTTTTAGGCAGGCGGCTTCTATGGCCTCCACATGTAATGGGCAAGCTAAAAGCAAGGGCGCGCGATCCGGGGTTTTTGTTCAAGGCAGTTTTGAGAAAGCCCCCAGGTGCCATGCACATGTCAAGGATATTGATAGGGCCAGGGCAAGCTTGTTGTATTGTCAGGGCAGTGGTGGACTGATGAAGCTCTTCTGCTATTTTCATCATCAACTTGTAGAAAAATTTCGCCGTCCGTTCATCGCATTCATCGGCCTCTCGACGTTGTACTTGGAAGTATTTATCGCCTTCAGGGTTCTGCCATCCCTATTTTGTATTAATTAGGGTATGTTATTTTGGTTGAGTATTACTTGCTCTTTGTCGTAGGTCACAGAGTTCTCGAAAGTCCGAACTGTTCTTCAAGAGATAAGGTACAATACACTGACTAGCATATCCTCTGTTGCTTTCATCGCTGAGACCTTCATGGCCCACGACAAACTGAGGACTTTTGAAATGATCTTCGGGCGAAGTGAGGACTCCCGCGTCTGCTTTGGTGGTGTCACGAGTGTACATGCTTTGATGTTATAGGAAGCTGGCTTTTATTTCAAAGCCAGATAAAGAGAAATAGGCGATGAGAAGCATGGAAAGAGCGGGTGGTCTTCTTTTATCATGAATGATGAAGAGACACGTGGAACGAGATCAATATGATTGCATATATACACTGTTCATGGTCTCATGGGCCACAGCAAATTTTACAAATTCCTGGCTCTATAATTTCGATCTATGGGTTTGATTGGTCGTTTCAGTTACATATGTGCACAATGCTGCCGTTATGAGATCCCTACAGCAGCTAACCTTCCCTTCCCTTGTTTGTAACGATATTGCGTGGCCGCGGCGTAGGAGATCATGCAACTTCCTCTTGTTCAACATGACCCTGACCTGAATCGTCTAAGTGCCTGGAAACAACAAGGTATATCACCCGGTGAAGTCACCTAAGAGTGACCACTTAACAACGCACAACATTTCAATGCAAGTTGAAAATACCGATGCGGTCCGAGCTTGAGCTGGGCGCTTACAGCTCTCAGTTCATTAGCCGACGATGGCACCTCACCACGTCAGGCTTGGCATGAGATACCAAATAGAGCCAGGTGCTGTCAAACCCCCGTCGGGAACAAAGGCCCCAAATCTAAAACCGCTTGCGTGGCCGTTACAATTTTGCATTCTAGGATGTGTTAAAGCCTATTAGTATCTGCCGTCGGCCAAGAGTACTTCAGATAGAGCATCATCTAAATAACTATTCCACTGTGTAAAAAAGGGTGCCAGCCGTTGAGTTCTATTGAAAAGACCCGTCTCTAGGATCACCGACAGGATCAACACGGGTCGCGATTTCTGCGCCCTGGCGCTGTGTACCGCCAAGATATGCAGGAAAGTATTACATGCGAAAGCGGGCACTATTGAACCACGGCACTGAGGTGCAAACGTGAAGTTATTGGTTTGAGGTACCCGGGATCACGGGATGTAGACTCTCGAATGTCATGAAACAGCGGGTTGTTGGGCATCTCCGGATCTTTCAAGCTTTTGGTTTCCTCAGACCTGTGGCATTGGGCATAAAGCTGTGCGAGTTGAATCGGGCTGGACAAACATTAGGAAACATCTTTCACTTTGTCTTTCCTCATATGCGGGCATCATTTCGCGTGGACATTCACATTGAGCTTATCAGTTCATACTGGTTGATTTGCTGCGCCAAACACCCCCTTTGATGTGTCATTTTAGCGCTGATGCGCGTGATACGCACGACTTTAGGACATTAGCCAAATTGTTCCAATCACAATGACTCATAAGGGTGAAATCGAAGATATAAAGTGTCAAGAGTCTAACTCGGTTTGGACTTCACACGGGCCTCTCAGAAACCGAAGTGCGCATATTGACGTGACCGACGATGAAAATCGGAAGCCACGTTTTCGCTGTCAGGGTACAGTAGTGCTGCGACATGGTTCCATCCAAATCACATGTCAGTATGCACGCACTGAGTCAGGTGTTCCGACTAATGATAGAAATAAGGACTTTCATTACCCAAAGTCGCGGGTGAGACTTTCTGTGTTTGCGGGGAAATTTGAAAACCAGACGATTGTTATTTTTGGCACAAGGGCGGGCTTACAAGATGTGGCGATTTAAACTGACAACGAGAATATTACTGTGAATACCAGCACTGAACGCGTTTTACTACATATAAAGTCAACGCCTTTTGAAGACATAAAAAATTGGCTGTGAACACCATCGAGTTTCCCAATAGCCCTTGCGTAAACAGAAGGGAACTTGCGGTTCAATGTTCGCAATAATGACTTTCCGTGGTATTCATTCATGTTATTCTCGTGTAATAGTTCGCAGATGAGGGTCCGCGACCGCTGTCAAAGATACAGGCTGCGCTAGCTCCCCAAGTCTGCATTCCTACCGCAACAAAGCGCAAAAATATAGCGGGCATTATTCGTTAATATAGCAACTATCGCACCACTACAAAGCATGAAGATCCCACTGTTCAGTACGAGCATAGTGACAGCTAAAGGAATGACAGGAGAAGTATTACCAAAATCAGACTGGAACATCCGAATCTGGTATCATGCTGGAATGATGAAATAGATGGATGCGAAGGAGAATTACTATCTTCGATTGAGGAGCGCCAGAAATTCTTCTCTGGCCTTCGCACTCGACCGCATGCATCCCACCATGCAGCTTGTAGTTGTAGTGCTGCCGACCTTCTGTACGCCACGCATAACCATACAAAGGTGGGAGGATTCCATGACAACAGCGACACCCCGAGGCTTGAGCGCCTCAGAAATGGCCAAAGCAACCTGCTTGGTCAGGCGCTCTTGGACCTGGAGCCTGCGGGAAAACATTTCAACTAAATGGACCATTTTGGAAAGACCAAGGATGCGGCTATCTGGGATGTAACCGATATGCACCTGTCCATATGTTATTCTTTGCGCCAGGAATGCACACAAAAACTCGTACCTTTCCGGTAAAGGGAACCATGTGGTGTTCGCAGAGGGAGAAGACATCAATATCTCTCAAAATGACTAGTTCATTGTGGCCCTCGTGGAACACAGCTCCATTAACCAGGTCATGGATATTCTCCGCGTAGCCCTTGGTAAAAAAGAGCATGGCATTGGCATATCGCTCTGGTGTCGCACGTAGACCTTCTCTCTCTGGTTCTTCACCAACGCATTCAAGAATCGTCCGCACAGCCCGCGCAAGCTTCTGAATTCGCTCATCATGTTGTCTCTGTGTTGACTCCACCTGTTGTCTAACTTCGAGGTCTAGTGGGCATGGGACAGAAGGGAAGTCTTCCTTGCCGTCTCGGGGCTCGTGAGGCGACTCATTCAGTGTAGGTCGGCAACTGGTCAAGAATCAGAAATAGTAGAGAAAATGACCAGCATTAACACTATACCGTAAGGTCACTGTGGCATAGGCGGCTCCGGTATCTTGCGTAGCGAGACCAGAGGCGGGGGCGACGGCAGGCCCCTCCTCAATTGAACTTAACTTAAGGGGAACGCGACAAGCGAATGAAGGGTTAGCGGGTGAATCGCTGTTCTGATGTTCACGGGCATCCTGGCCGCCTTCACCAGAGCTAGGGCTCGCGGAAGAACATAAGGGGGATCTATCGTTCAGCATATGGGACGGAAAGGTCGACGCCTTCGAATCAAATGGAAAGGTTCCAGAGTCCATCGCTATGAGGAAACCAAGAATATTGGGCTTGTTTTTATCAGAAGCAAACGCTATGTCCTGAGTTGTCAGCATGATATCAGTTGCACCAAATAGGCAGGGACTCGAGTAAATCACATGCATGAGTCCTGACTTCATTTAACAAATTATCGCTCAGACTTGCACCCATGACCCCGCTCCAAGTGACATTGCACAGATGCCCATCGCTGTTGGGTATGACCCAGTCCATAGGTTGCTAACCCATGAGTACATTTTCGCGCAGCTCTCACTTTCCACTTCCAACATCCATAAAACTTTTTTCATCCAGAACGGAAATGGCCAACCTCGAGTCTCTCAAAGGGGCCCTCAGACAGAAAGCTACAGAAAAGGTGTCATTCTCGAAACAACCATTGTCAGACTTGCAGTACAGCGCTGGCTTCGATACCTTGGTGCGGGGCTCAGGATGGATGACATACCATGACTTTATTATCCCTCAAATTTGCCAGCTTTTGACCCAACTCTTCAGCTCGCGTACCCGTATTTCGGTGCTGGAAATCGGGCCAGGTCCGAAGAGCGTACTTGGGCATCTACCTAGCCATCTGAGACAGAAGGTCAAGAGATATTCTGCGTTTGAGCCCAACAGTCTATTTGCTGCAAAGGTGCAGAAATGGCTTTGTCCTAAGTCAGACGTGGAGTCCCCATTTCCGTGTCTGGAAAGTGCGCCCGACATCCATCGCATGCCATTTATTCTTAATAGCTCTAAAAAGGGCGCCACAGGTGGCGTTACTTGTGGCAGTGATGAAAAATTCGACTTCGTTATATTCTGCCACAGTATGTACGGCTTAAACCCCAAAGCCAAGTTCATCGAACAAGCACTTGGGATGCTTGTTGAGCAGCCCGAAGGCGGAATGGTGGTAGTGTTTCATCGGGATGGCGCCCTTGACTTTGACGGATTAGTGAGCAATCAAACGGCTTCTTTCTCGACCGGGGTAATTTGCGTGCCAAATGACGACGAGGTACTAGACCTTTTTGCTCCTTTCGTCGCGGGTTTTGGCATGCATGACGCAGATTCGGACAAGGTTCTCCGAGCCGAATGGCGTAACGTGTGCCGCGCCTTGAGCCGCCGTGAGGAAGCTTACCCAGAGCATCTCTTCTTCAGCTCGCCCAACTTAATGGTCGCCTTTAGCAAACAGGCGACGGCATTACCGGAGCTGGCGGCTCAAGTGCCACTTTTGAGAGGAGACATAACAGTTAAAAACAGGGAGGCTCGCCTTCAC